GATGGAACAATTCGCCTAAGTTTTGTTCAGGACACCTTATGCTATTTGACAAAAATTTTTTGCCGGCTATCGATCTGACGCAGCCTCATTAGTCGCCTCTTACGACTAGCAGAGGGGCCGTGGAAGTATTGTTATCTTAGGGAAAATTTTTACCAACCATATTTTTTAAAATTCTTGAGTGTTATGAAGATAGTATTGTTTTAAAATTATTAAATACTGTTTTGTAAAATATAAGAATTAGTCGTAATTAATTTAGTTTACCTATCTCTTACTTATTTTTTTAAAATAAATTTAGTATCGCCTTAAATATTAAGGTAATGTTATTTATTTCTTAATTAACTTTATTGGTAAGTATTGCAATCTTTAATGATGTTACTTAAGGAAGTCCAAAGGGAAAGACTACAAAAGTATCCTCAAAATAATTTTTTATTTTTGAAGTATAATTGTTCAATAAATAATATATTTTAAGTAACACATTAATCAATTTAAACATTAAAAAATTAAATAAAAACATCTATTTATTATTTTATCTTATCAGTGCAACCTAAACTCTAGTATTGTAAGAGTCTGTTATTTTAGTAATAAAACTACTATTTTTGAGTAATAAGATAAATAGCTTAGAATAAAATCAAACAATAAAAATTATTAAACAGTTTTATGTTTTAACTTTTAAAAATCATGAAAAGTAGGTATAAGGTAATAAAATACACTTTTGGAAAGAAAATAATAAATTTTATAATTTCAATATTTGGTTTTTTTTATTTGAGTGATAAAGAAAAAGTTTTTTTTACAACTTGGATTTGTTCTGGCCGTAATGCAATACAAACTATTTTATTGTATTCCACTGCTGAAAAATACTACTAAAAATAAAATTAACTACTCAGTTTATTTGATTATATTGATTTAATTTATACTAGCAGTATTTTTAGAAATTAAAGTAATTTTATTTACATTACATTGAATAATTTAATTTCAAATAATTTTGATTGTAAATAAGAAAATTTTAAGGAACCACAATTAAAGCAATTTTCATGCAATATATTCATAACGAAGGAAGTTTCACTTCATTCTTTCGTACTCGTACTGCACACAGGTATTTAAATTTATGAGTCCCAATTTGTTCTAAAATTTAATGTTGTACATTAATCATAATTTTGTTAAATATTAATCATTTCAGATTGCTATAATGTAAAAGTTTATGATATCATAATTTCAAATAATACTTTGAATAAAAATTGTATGTACACCTATAAAACTGAAACGTATTTTTTTAAATAATAGATGTATAAAATTACATCATAAACTGATTTATGACGTATAAATTACACAATCACACAAAAAAAAACCAATTTTTGAGGTCGCTGAATACGAATTTGAGGTCGAAATCGCCCATATCGTGCCAGAGTTTCTCATAAACTCAAAAAAAACCCCTTAATCGAGTCATATAACAATAAACCTTTCACATCAAACCCCATAACCTTTTAAAATCATAACACATGATCCCATGTAACCTCGTTACCGTAAATCCATAATCATATAACTCTATAAACCCATAATTCCATTGCCCGCAAGTCAAACAAAACAGTTCATCTCAGGCAATTTGTATTAATGCACATTTTTACGGACATTCATATTACGTTCGATCAGTGAAATGAAACTCAATAATCCCATAACCACATAACACCTTAACCTCATAATCCTCAAAATCCATATCAAACGAAATATATTGAGCAAGTTAGGATCACCCATGCATAAGTCAACTCTGGAGTTCTGTATTATTACATCTCGTCACAAATATTAAGAATAGTTTTGATCAGTATTAGTGTTACTCGATGTACACCACGGAAAGGTTGCACGATCGGATTTTGTATATCATTTAGCCCTATCTCATAAGACCTTTTATGAAATGATGAGAGATGAACTGTTTTGTTTGACTCGGGGGCAATGGAATTATGGAGTTATGTTGTTTATGGGATTTTTAAGCTAAACTTACAAGGACCCCGAGGAGGGTCCAACCTGGGCCGAGGTAAAGCTGGAGCACCAAGGATTTTGGTACCTTATCCTAGGGGGAATGGTTATAAATAAGCTATGATTTAGTAAAATTATTAAAATTTATTAAATATTATAATCAAATTAATTTTTTTATTATAACATAAAAAAAAGTATTTAAAAGAGAATTGTACATAATACAAATTAATTAATTAAAAACATAGGTCCCGAATAAAAGGGAAAATATAGAGAACAAAAACACTACAGTAAATTATTAAAGTTAAGAGAAACAAAAAAAAAAAAAGTAGTGATGAAACAATAGTCAAAAATTTAATAGGAATATGTATATAAGATATCGGAGGTTTCAGATAATTCCATCAATCATAAAAACATATAAGTTAAAAAGTATTCAATTAATATTACTTCAGCCGGTAAAATACTTTTTAGTTATATTAAAAAGTAGTTAACATATACAGAGTGGAACGGATCTAACTGACAACTCATATAACTTATGATCTACTTAACATTTTATACTTTTTTTGTAAATAAATTTTTACAATATAGAACTAAATTTAAAATATATTTTATGTTATTTTTCGCAATTACAAAAAATATTTTAAAAGTTAATTTTTTTTAAGATTTCAAGATAGCCATTTTATAGATAAGTTTTAAAGAAAAATTTTGATACCAAAAACTCTTATTTTAATTCAGTAGTTACATTTATACAGCATTTTGAAATTTGTTAAATTTTAATTTTTTATACAATTTTCCTATGGTATCAAATGTTAGTCCATATTATGTAAAGTACAGAAGTAAACACTTATTACATTATTTACTGGTAACAGTACGCGATTTCTTTTCCATGATACTAACGGGATTCGCTCGGGAGTCTCCTTGATCTTACTCCCTAATTTCTTTCCCGGAGAAAGAAGCGCTCTGCACACCCTTTTCCGGTGCGTGGTGTGGGATCTTTAGCAAGACTTTTTAGTTTAGTTAGTAGATGAGATTCCTTCAAACGAATTTCAACCACTGTCGGGCTGCCCAGGATGTAGTTCGTCAGACGGCATTCGAGATGGTCACCGACATGCCCATCATCTTGGATTCGTATATCGGACTGACTGTAGACACTCTTGGATGATTAGCATAGAATAATAGCAGGTAAATAATCGCAAACGACGATTTTTATTCCACTATTTAAATAATTTAAAAATCAGTGGGATACCATTATAAAAACTGATTGATGAAAATGATATTGATAAAATTTTACAGTTTTAATTTGATAGACTTAATTTGTCGTTTCCGTGAGATGATTATAAAGAATTTCTTATTTTAATTATTATTTTTTTGGGGGGTGTCCCTCCAGAAGAAATAAAATTTAAAAAACCAGGAGCATACCATTTAGCACGTTGGATAGCTATAGGTATATACGGCCTAAAAATTTTCTTATTTAGAAATCAGTTTTAGTTAACTAAACTTGAGGAAAATTCTCTCGCAGAACTTAATTGCTTTATTATAAAATGTTATGCTGTGAACTGGTTTACTGCCTCAAACAGTGAAATGGCTTCCTTAAATGACATGAGATTTTTAAGAAAATTGCTTGAATATTCTAAAATTAATAAACATATTTCTGAAGCTACAATTGGAAAATTTTTAAATCATTTATATTATTTGAATGAAGAATGTTCATATATGCATTATTCGATCAAAGAGAAGACTATGAAACAAAATTGAAATTTGCTAAAATATTATGTGATGACATCTTCGATGAAGAAGATGCAATAGAAGAAGAGAATGAGACCCCCAAAAAACTAATTTTAAAAAAGATGACACCATTTTTTTTTAATGATGACGATAAAACTATTTTAGTTAAACTTATAAGTAAAACATCTCAAAAGATGTTTAAAAGATTCAATATAAATAGTGATTTTTTAAAAACTCATCCCAAAACGTGGAATAATTCAGTCAATGATAATTATGGCGAGGAAAAAATTATAAAACTTAAACTAGTCAACGATGCATCAGAAAGAGGTATTAAAATTATTGAGAAATTTGACCATAAAATTACAAAAAATGAAGAGCAAAAACAATTTCTTCTGCAGGAAAATAACATTAGTTAATAGTTTTGGTAATAATTTACGCTATCTTTTCATGATTATTGTGTATACATATGATGATAATGTGTGTATACATTACAAATTTGGCATAAATACCATGATAAGAAATTAGATAAGGCAATTATTACTTATCACTCTCATTCAAAAGTATATTGAAAAGATAGCGTTTTCTTCTGTCCTTTTCTCAATACGTATTTCAATGTTTAATACCGTAAAATAATACATGAAAATTCAAATTTTTACAAACTTCAAAACGCTACAGAATATTTAATACTGAATATTAATAAGATATTTTTTTACTAAAATTTTTCTTAAATTCTACTCTACAAAATAGCTATCTTAGATTTTTTTTTTACATTTTATTTAAAATTTAAAAATAATTAATATTTTTAATAAAATGTAAAAAAATTAATTATTGAGATATAGCTATAGACCTAACGTATAACTATTATTTAAAAAAAAAATCAACTAAAAATATTAACTGTATCAAAAGTTATTTAAGTTGTCAGTGAGTGGTGGGCCACCCTGTATATACATATACATATAATAATTTCTATTGAAATAACGCTCAACCTTATTTATCAAGTAATAAAAGCTTTTTAAATCTCAATTTTGTTCTATATTGTATACATTATAATTTTACTGAAATATTGTTCAGTTCATATTGCTATAACATAGGCGTTCATTAAATATAATTTCTAATAATAATTCGTATAAAATAAATAAGCATGTAAATATCTACAAATTTAAAATATTTTTACTTTAACTGATTTATGTCGTATATTTTATTGTTATAAGATCTACTTAAAACTTTTAAAAAATCTAAAATAAGATTATTGAAGTTATTAAATAAACTAACTATATGTATGAATGTTTCATTTTAAAATACAATATAAATGTTCGTTCATAAAAAAGTTAAAACGATTATTATTAAAGAAAAAAAAATTTGTAAACTAAATAATAAACAAATATTTTAGCATTACATTAAGATTTTATAACATAAATTTATTTAAAATGCAATTTAGAATTTTTATTTTTATTTATTTTATTTACTTAGGACTAGTGTCCACTCTACATCCAAGAACTGTGAAAAGGAAATATTTAGATTATGTCATTAGGGTAGTCAATTATATTCGTGTACAAGAAGGATGGAATTCAATAAAACATTTGCATCTGAATCATGATGTGTACAAGAATTTATCAATAGAAAATGTATTTGCACAAAAAGTTGACAAAAACAATATTTTAAACATGTTTAGTATTGTTGTTCATTTACTTAACTACAAATATACTGAGATATTAAGAAGTTATGTAGAACTTGTTACTTTAATTTTAAAGGAATGTGAAAAGTATTCAGCAGCCAATTTATTCAAAGAATTTATAAATTGTACTCAACATATTGAACAAAAAGTGAAAAATTCAATGATTATGTTTAACGATTTGTACCAAGTAATGACGTTTATGAGTTCTTTTGATACAAAATGGTTATTTAAAAATATTTCAGGAATCCCATTCGTAATGGTAGAAGAAATTTATTTTGCTTATCATTATACAAATACCATGAAAATTTCAGATCAATCATTTTTTATTGATGAGAATGGTAATTTTATACCTGAAAATGCGACATCAGTACTTGCAAATATTAAAAAAATTCTTGATAAATTAGATTTAATGGTAGAAAAAGATCAAGCGAAGAATTGTATTTTGGTTGAGCTCTCCGAACGAATTGACTATCAATTGTTATTTGAAGAGCAATATTTACATTACAAATCAACATATTGCAATTTAAATATTATCGATTTTATGTTAAATGCGGTATATGAATTTTGCATGAACACTATAAAAAATGATTATGAAAACCTCGGGTTTAAAGAAATAATAAATCCGCTCTTATACAAGTAAATTAATAAATGATTAATTTTTCATAATTTTATTTAAGGTAAAAAAAAAATTATTCAAACTAATATTTTTTAATGAATTATTTTACATAATGGTATAATGTTCAGATTAAAATTAAATTCATAATAAAGGTATCAATTTTTTATTTTTTAAATTATGAATTTGAAATTTAAATTTTTCATGAGCCGTTGGTAAATTAAATATTTTTTTTAAAGGGTAGTCCTTTTTCCTTTAATATTCTTGTTGGGTAATCATTAAGAACTTTAGACATTTATGCTGAGAATATTTACAATTAACACTTTCTTTCATAAAAAACAATGTATTTGGACAAATTTATCTTTTATAATTTATATTATGATAGCTCTAATTTAATATGTATTTAAACTACGATGTCTTTTCGTAACATTATTAACAGTTAAGTTGAAACAGATAACTTTTTATTCAATAATTGTTATTTTAAATCCTTTTTATGGTTAGGTGAAATATCAGATTTAATATATATCAAGTAGAAGACAAAAAAGGTGTTTATACAAAAAAACATTTGTTTTAAATTATCCAATTTTTTAAATATCGTGATAGCATTAGGTGAAAAAATATTTTAATATTTAAAATGTTAAATTTTCTGATTATAAAAATTAAAATTTTACAGAGATTCTTTAATTTACGGGTAACAAAAGAAGTGTTTTCATTTTCTCGAATAATGTTTTATATTAAAAAAAAAATTAATAAATAAATAAACAGATTATAATAAAATTAATAATTTCTTAATTTTGTATCAAAGTTAATTTTTTTTGTTTACCTTGAGAAAAATATATCATTTAAAGTATCAAATAGCACATTAAAATTTGAGGCTTTGACTTTCTAGGTTGAAATACAGCCCTGTACTTAATTTGTCAATTATGGTTAATTGTTTATTTTTTTTTAACAAATGACAAATATTTTATGCTTTAAGAAATGAAACGTTGCTAATTGATTATTTTTTAATGCAGACGTCATTCATTATATCTACCTCAAATTGATTTTATTTCACAAAGTAAGGGAATAGAAAATTTGAATATTATTCTTAATGCTGGTAACTGGAAGATTTTAAACTATCTATATATAAAATATAATAATCAAGTATTAAGTGCAAATCGTGTGCTTAGAGATCAAGCAAATAATATCAATTTTCATCTCAAAAAGCAGTACTTTACTCAATTAATAAGATGTAGATTTTATGACTTATTAAAAACATTCAGTTCACATTTATGTGGAATTTTGGAATTGTGTAAACATGAAAAAACAAGCAGTGATAAATTTAGTAATCCACACAAATACATTGAATGTTTAAAAAATTTTCATATGACTACTAGAAATATTCAGCACTTTTTAAACTATTTAAAGATGGCAATGGAAAAATTACAAAAGGCATATATTTGGTGTGAAAACGGAACATTTTATTGTTTAGGACCAATAAAAAACATAGTAGAAAATACACTTTATTTGATAGAAGTAATAAACTTGAGACGAGATGAGTTTTCTGACTACGATACCTTAAATTTGAAAAGAATAGCAGACAATTATTTCGAAGATGCACAATATTTGAAAGCCTCTTTACTGTCAATCTTGAATAATGTATCTCGAGTTCATAAAAAGCATTGTTTATTTGATGGAAAACCATTTCATTCAAAAAGAGATGTTTTAGAGCATAGCAATAGTAATGCATATTTTACAAATATTGCTAATCCAACAATAAATCCTGTTACCAGTTATCAACAGGCATGTGCGGATTTTAATAGATTTTGTGAAGATTTCATCAGGATAGAATATAGAAATTTAGGGTTTGATAAAATTAATTAGAAAAATTGCTTTTTATTTTCTATTTTTATGGATTTAGTAATATTCTTATAATTTTTCTTTGTTTGAATTTAAGATTATATATTTTAAATTGTAAAGTTAATATTATTATCGTTTCTTTAATTTTTTTTTTTTAACTTATTACTAACTTAAGGGATACAGTATTCTTTACACATCATTCATAAATACAACTCCATTAATGGTAATGGAGTTGTGGTGCAGTAAGAAGATAGTATACATAGGGAATCCAGAATCTAGAAATTGAAAGGAGATAAAGAAGATGAGTTTTTAAATGCAGTAAAAGTGAGAAAAGGAATCCAAAAATGGTACATTAATATAATAGAAGATATATGTGCTGGTACTTGTACCAAGGTAAAAAGTGTGAGTGGAATAACAAAAGATTTTAGGGTAAAAGTAGGAGTGTACTAAGTTCCTGCTTTAGATACTTACTTGTTTTCTATAGTGATGAAAATGGTGGTTGAAGAATCTTTCTATAATGATCCTATATGAAGGGAAATACCAAAAAAATGGAGTAATAGTATTATGGTCCTGATATTTAAAGCCAATGGCGTTATAAAGAGTGTAAAAATTATAGAGGCATAAAGCTTATGAGTCATAGTATAAAAATGTTGGAAAGGATAATAAACAAAACAATTTATTTTAGTTGTACGTTTTCATTTTCTAGTTAACAAATTAAAAAAATTAATTAAAAACTATCTATAATAGATTTAACATATAATGTATTTTTGTTTAAAATATTGTTTAATTAATTATGACATTAAAAGTACATTATTAATTGTATAAATCAAATAATATGTTAAAACTATCAGTAGACAGTGACTTAATTAACATTCGGTATATTATAAATTACTTACCGTTACCGTTGTCTTTTGTATTCTTATATCATTTTTGAAAAAATGTTGTTATTTTACTTGTTCCTTTCATTTTAACCACGTATTCACAAATCACAATTATATAAATTATAAATTGACTGTGTCCGATCACATCGATTATTGATAACCAAATGATTCTCGAAATAAATTAGACTACAAATCTATTATATAGTCGCGATAATGGATATCCTTGTTCTGAAAGCTATTCTATTTAGGGTGTTTCGGTTAAATATTAAATCGTTTCTATTTTTTAGATAACGGGTAAATGTCTCCATGTTATGTTATTCTTATACATAACTCATATACTATATAAAATATTAACTACTACATACATAGTACATGTAAGTTGTTTCTAAATAAAACAATTTGTTTACTATATGTGTAAACTAATACTTAAAGACAGTTTATCAAATATATTTGAGTTTTGTTTCTATATTCAACATAAAAATTAAAGACTATAGGAGATGAACTATGTATTTTAGTCACGGGAGCGTAAATTCTAGGAAACTGTCCGTGAAAGCTTTGACCTCGCGGAATTTTTCCCGTGGGGGCAGTTGTCCCCTCTGTTCCGACGCCCATGTGCTTAAGTTATAAATGACCACTTTGAACAAAATGTAATAGCAGTTCACGCATTTCATAAATATTTGATTTAAAGACAATATATCCTTTAACTAAAAAAATTATATATTTTAGTGATGGTACAATTAGAAAAGAATATTTATATATTGAGTTTTTGCAATAATTTACAACAAAATAAATTTAAAAAAAAAAAACGGTAGCACAGTGTGGACGAGGCATAGATGGGACAAGTATAGATGATATCTGACAGAGATTAAAATCACTATCATAAGAAACGCTTCGATGCAAATCTGTAGAGTGTTTTCTTTAGAGAAATTGGTGGAATATTCTAAAAGCAACATCAACTCTTATTTCTTTAATTATATCCTGATTAGTAGTTCTTTGATTTTAAAATATAATATATGAATAAATACTAATTATAGTTTTTAAATTTAGTATGAAATTGTGAGGCCAGCTATGATGTATGGTTCATAGTGTTGGGCGGTTGATAAGAAAGTAGAGCAGAGAATAAGTGTAATAGAGATGAGAATGCTTAGTTGGATGAGTGGAGTGACTAGAGAAGATAGGATAAGGAACGAGCATATAAGAGGAAGTATAGGTGTTGCGTCAATCGTGGATAAGATGAGAGAAAATAGACTTAGATGGTTTAGTAATGTTATGAGGAGAGAGGAATCGGAAGCTCAAAGAATAGTTATAGAAATGAATGTTGAAGGAAGAAAAGATAGAGAAAGACCAAAAAAGAGATAGAGGGATGCTATTGAATGCGGTTTGAGGACAGCTGATGTGAGCGTAAGAGATGTGGGAGATCGTGTCAAGTGGAAGCTTAGGATAAGGGTGGCCGACCCCAAGTAGTTGGGATTAAGGCAAAGAAAAAGAAAAAGATTACCAGAAATTCCGGTGGCAATTGACATAATATGATTGTTGTTTGGGAATGTACAATTTAGCGTTTAGTTGGGTTTAAACAATATAGCGTCAAATCAATTACCTACTCTATCGCTTGTATATTAATATACACTACAATTTAATGATACAATAAATAAATAATAAATTCACACATACACACATATGCATTTATAACATTGTGTCTAATGTAAGTATAACATTATAAAAAGTAACCGTAAAATGAAAAAAATGGAATATAAATTTTAGTACTCATATTAAATGTAATGTAACTCGAAAAATATTTGTTTAAATGAAAAAATATAAGACACTTTTTTTATTTATAATTGTCTTTTAAACAATGTTCGTATGAAATTTTTTTTTGTAAGTTAAATATTTTTTGAGAAAATTAAAAAAGCTCATATTTTTTAACTTTTGCCAAAGTAAAAAACTTCAAAACACAATTAATTTATAATACTGAATAATGTTAATATTATGTAAAAAAATGTGATTAAAAAAATTGTATTTCATCGTTAATTTTAATATTAAAAATGTCATTTTTTTCCAAAAACAAAAAAAACACTTTCTTCAAAATCATTTAAAAAATACATTAAAAATTATAAAATTCTATTTTGTAATTACTGGACATATTAGAAGACCTCATAATGAAAAATTGATGAAATTTTCAAGTCTTTAGTATAAATACGTAGGTTTCAGGGATATTTTCAGGGGTAATTTGCAATTTCAAAATTTTGACAGGTCATAAATCTACTTTAACCTGAAATTTTTTTTTGGAATTTTTTTTTATTTACATACTAGGCTACTCATGTGTGAAATTTCAAAAAAATTTCAAATCGCGCGACCACTCTGGATGATTTGATATGGATTAACCCTATAACATAAATATAAATACACATACTTATAAACCAATTTTTGTTAAATATAAATTTAAATGATAATAAAATTGTCATTTCCAACGAAAAAGGTCGTAACTTACAATTTGACTATTTTAAGTAATTTCTTTTGTTTGATAAAGAATTCAAATCTTTATATTTCCCGAAAATGGTCGAATTTTTAGCTATCTTAGTATATGACATGTACAAAGATAATTGTAAGTATAAATTATTTATCTTTTAAGCTATACATATAAAATTCGTACTGATTTAATGAAAATATAGCAGACTTATTTTATTTATGGAAAAATGGTTATTATATAATTATTTTATAATTATGACATTTTAAATTTTATTATTAAATTATATCAGTAAAAATTCAATATAAAAAATTTAAGTACGAATAAACATTACACTTTTTAGTGCAATTATTGAATTTTATCATTAATCAGCCAAATATTTATAATAGTAATATTAATAAGAATAATCGTTATTGCGGAAAAAATGTTCAATTATTCATTAAAATAAAACAAAAAATATAAGTAGTGCACATTATTGATGATTAAAATAGTATAGTTTATATAAATTTCAATTTTAATAATAAATAAATTAATTAATACATTAGATTAATAAAATATAATTTTTAAAGTAGCTAAGTTAGGTCGAAAATCGATAAATGAAAAAATTCAAAATTATTTTAAATTACCAGTTTATATTAATATATGATATGGTAATAATATATTTTTTTGTTATATTAGGCAAATAAAATAATTATATATTTTATCAAGTCATAACTATAAAAAGAACCACAAATAATGCATCAGGTATGATGCATAGAATGATATGTTTTTTGTATGTTACATTGATGTTATAAAAATCGTTTATAATATTTTGAATTTTTGAGATGCATAATGACAGATTTAGAGAGCTATTTCACCATATAATTTAAAAAGTTCTAGTATTAATTATTATCATTTTAAATACGATTATCATACAAATATTTATAATTACGTTTAATAAGACCAAATTTAGTTAACTTTTGATTAGTTATAATTATAATATAGGGATTAAAAGTACACTTAAGTTAAATATGACATTTTAATCGTTTGCTTAATTTACCCTATTATGAGATGACTAAGTACAGCATAGTTATAATGAATTGTATTCTTGTATAAAGAATCGGAATATTTTTACACTTTTCTATATTTAATGATATGCCATTCTCGTTATACTATTCATAAAATGTATTTAAATCTTCCAGGAGAAAGAAAAATTCATTATAATATTAAATTTAAGTATTTAGCTTTAAATCATACGCTAACAATTATAAAAAATAAATAATAAAAATTTTTTAATTTATTAGCAACATTATTTTTTTACCACCGCGTATTTTTGTCTCTCGTATATACACGGTAAAAGGCCGTGTAACTTGATTCATTAACCTAACTCAATAGTTTGGTTTAATATTTATTTTAGTTATTAATAATTTTACTAAAAATGTATTTTATTTATTAGATTATATTTTGTTCACGTTGTTATTTCATGCTAGTATTAAGACTATATGTTAAAGCTAAGTTCATGTTCAATTAAGTTATTTTGAAAGACTTTGTCTTTCAACTCATGGAGTATGTTTGGTACAGAACGTCTTTAGTAATGATCTAGTAGACTAGTTATTATAAACATCGTTGATTATATTATATCGCGTGGCAGCTGATCTCCAGCGTCTTGCTTTACTCACCCCTTTGCCCACCCACCACGGCAAATCGATGGCCTCTGTGTCAATTGTCATCCGTGTACAGTTCATCGTCGTAAGTCTTTTTGTTTTATGTGTCATTCTCTTCTGTAGCTTTAATGGTAAATTGTTCGACCATTGTACGCCGTTATTCTTTTATTTGTTTATTGCAACCTTTGTGCTCAAAGTTTTCGTGCCCTTGCACGCCACTAGTGATTGGGCCCTGACCAATATCTTCATTGCCGAAATCACTTTTCCGCCGTCTGTTCTCATCTGCCATTACGTGGCTGGATCCACACTCTGATTCCTTATACTCAGATGATGGACACCATTGCCACATGATCTCATACAGTCCACACATCACTATCAACAACAACTGTTCAGCTGAGTTTTATATTATGTTTTAATGTAATTTATTGTTTGAGTTTAACTATTTTGTTTATGCCGCTTCGCCGGCCATTAGTTTTTAAGGGCCCCCCGCTACCTTTTAAATTTAAGATATATGTGGTTAGTTGTTATTTAATTATTGTCTATTCTCGTTAATTATTGGATGTACCGTTTGTCGTCATCCCCTAGGTGACCCATTCCCGCTTCAATAATCAGCGATTTTAACAGGCTTAAGGTAAACCGGTATTCTAGTGTGGTGCACAATTATTTAAGTTAAAAATAACGGTAATAAATGATCCAACAGAGGAATACCAAATGAGACTAATGAAATTTTCATATTTAATATTTTGAATTCAGTCTCTTAAAAATGAACGAATCCATGGAAGAAAGGGTTCCTGACTTAAATTAAATAGTAAAATATTATTATTTGCTTTATAAAATGCTTTCTTAAGGTCTGTATAAATAATATCTTTTTGCATCTTTTTCAAAAATAATCTATTATTGATTGTTTAAAAATATATAAATTGGTTATAGTGTAACGGCCTGTCCGAAAACCATATATCTTGTTGACTAAAATGTTATTACATACACCAATTAATTATTATTTCAATCATTTTTAAAATAATAAGATAAAATTAATCTTTGATTAATAATTTTGAACATTAATTTTACTTTTTTTTATGTATTGTTGATATAAAAGATTTGTATTTCAAGCTTTAAGCCACAAAAATACTACAACATTTTTTTAAATTAGAAAATTCTTTTAATGACTATATATTATCCGTACAAATTATAAATTAAGAGATTATTACAAATATTATTTCATAAAATTGAGCAAATTATTACAATAGTCTTCTATTTTGTTAATTCTAATATTAAAATAATAATATATTTCATAGGCTTTATCATTATTTTATAATTAATTTTGGTGGATGGAATATATTTATTATTGAGCTAAATTCTATAAAAACGAAAATATACACACATATCACGATATATTAATATATATTAGCTACATGCCTTATTCTAAAAAAATAACTATACAATATAGATCACAGATATTTAAAAAATATATTATCTCTACGTTAATAATAATAATAAATCTATTAGTATATATTGGAAGACATTATGATTGTCATTTAAAACCCTATTTGATTAAACTTAGTTAAATCTTATTTAATAAACATAATAAAATTATAAAATCTTTTCAGATGATATTTTAATTACTGGCGACCAATTTATGTGCATGTGTGTCGTCAAACAAATTAGTTTATATTTTTGATCTAATACTCTATAATTCTATTAAAATCTAAAATGTGCAAAGTGCGTCTAAAACGAGTGCAACAAGTGATTTTTAGTGATAAATTGTGAATATAAAAGTGTAAGTGCAAACGTGCCAATGGTAACTAGTGCGAATTGGTGCAAATAATTGTGCAGTTAATATGGTGCGTGTTAGATTATAATGAAAATTAAAAAAAATTATTAAGTGCAAAATTATGTACAATACGTATTAACATTTATCCGAAATAAAATAATGAAAGACATTAGGTTTTTATCTTCTCCTTTTTTCTAGTTTATTACCCACAATAAAGCGGTGCTTAACGATCTACGTGAATATTTCTTAACCTCTCAACCGTGTCCGAGGTCAAGTTGACCATGGTGGGTCCTGTGTTTTCAATGTTCTCTTGCAGCCGTTCGTTTGCCACGTTCTGGGCACGTTCCTTGCGTCCGTCGTGACTGGTTGTAAATAAGTTTTCCAGACTCTTCCAGTGCTTGTTAAGATTCACTCTGGCTGATCTGGTGATGACCCGCAGACAATTGGCGTTGTTGTCTCGGTACGGTTTTAGCACCTAATATAAAATAAAGAAAGTATCGTTAATTCTCTTTTCTTGCAGCATCAGTGACGTTAACGTGTGAAGGAAATATCATGTTTATTTCAAAGTATCGTACTCGGAGTAGCTATGTGATATGTCTACTTACTTGTTTCAAGTTGTTTAAGCGGTTGGCGTAAGAAGAAATCTTTTGTTGTTGAGGAGACATTTCTGGATGCTGTCTGCGCGTTGTACGGCACATAACTACACTGCTGGAGCCGTCGACAATCTTTGCTCTGTTATGTGTGGGTAGCTCGGCCGGTGCACCAGGTGTTCAGCAGAAGTGCATGTATAGGCAGTGACAGAGATGGCAATCTTATAGGTGGTAGCCGTCGATTGCTGCTGGTGCTGCTGCGTCTTCTGCTATGAATCGCATTGGAATGTGGTCCCGTCCACATCCAGGTCTACCTTATATAATGTACCTGCGGCGCGCGCGTAAACCTCTTGGTTATTTCTCGTGTATTGTTCATCTCCCACTTATGTATCCGAACACTAAAAAATCCCTCAGAGTCACCACGAATCAAACACAATGTGAGTAAATTACACAGCAATACAAAACACTATGCACAGGGTTAACATAAAAGTGTACAAGAAATAACCGTTTAGTTTTCATGACTTCACACGCTATGTGTTATCTTTTTATTTTATAATGTGGTTATTACAGTATGATAAAAAATTGTATTTATTATCAAATCAAAATGTGTCAATTAAAAACGGTAGCACAGTGGAGTCGAGGCACAGTGTAGGCAAGGCATAGATGGGACAAGTATAGATGATAATTGACAGTGATTAAAATCACTATCATAAGAAACGGTTCGATGCAAATCTGTAGATAGTGTTTCATTTAGAGAATTTGGTGGATTATTCCAAAAGCAACATCAACTCTTATTTCTTTGATTATATCCTAATTAGTAGTTCTTTGATTGAAAAATATAATATATGAATAAATACTAATTATAATTATTAAATTTAGTATGAAATTGATATTCAATAATTTAATATTGTAATTTAAACGGAGAAATTATAAAAATAATAAAGAAGTTGTATTTTGCTTTATTTTTACGTGTATCAAAATTTAAAGGGCTTGATACAATAAATTTCAATAAAATCTCTGTTTGTTACTATAAATAAATGCACTGAACTACAAGGAACTTTCATCAGTAACAAAAATATACCATTCTAAATCAACTTTTCGCGATGTTTTCAAATCTGCAATTAGACTTTTTCTATCACTTCTAAGTTTAAATATTATTAAAAATTAGTATTTACATATAAAAAATTCGCATCGAAGCTAAAAAATTGGCTATTTAAACTAACTCAAATTTAAAAATTACTTTTTCGACTTAAAAAAAGTAAAAAAAATTTAATAAGTTTAATTTCTTATGTGTTATAAACTTTATTTTATGTCAATTAAATTATATAATATTCATAAAAGTCAATATATTCTCCTAATAAGATATTTTAAAATAAAATAAAATACATAACCCAGAATTTTAATATAAAAATAGCATATTTTTTAATACGATAGCCATTTGCGCATAGAAGATAGGTAGTCGGGACAAATTTTAAATCCCCTTTGTGAGCAGAATAAGTGTTAGATATTAAAAAAAAAAA